TACTACCACTACTACTACTCCTACTACTACTACCACCACTACTACCACTACTACCACTACTTCCTGCTACTACTACTACTACTACTACTACTACTCCTCCTCCTGCTGCTGCTGCTGCTGCTGCTACCACTGCTGCTGCTACTGCTGCTGCCGCGGCTACTTACTTGCTCTTGCCAGTGGACTATTACTACTACTAGTATTAGTACCACTGGCATCACTATCACAGTTACCATTACCTTTACTATGACTATTGCACCATCACTGTCGTCGCTACAAGATGTTACAAGTACTTCTGCTAAAACTATTGCTATTACTACTGCTAGAACTACTACCACTACTATTGCTACTACTAGGATAGCACCACGACCGGTGCTGGTACGAGCACAAGTAATTACGAATATTTCTTTGGTTACTATCACTGTTGCTCTCATTATTATGTAGCCTGATACTTCCAGAACCAAAGTGAAACTTCTAATCATCACGGCAATGAACATAGCCACATAGCCCATGCAGCGACATCTAGACCAAGTACTTCCATAGTAAGAGCCTGATGAGAATGACCGTAGCTGATACAAAGAGAAACGTAGCAAAAAACAGATAGCAACAAGTGCAACACGGGTGTTGCACTCCTTCCTCAAAGAGGTTTTAAAACAAAAACGAAAAAAGCATCAGAACCAGTACCACATCGTTTTTTACAAGCAGCACACTGCTTTCTCCGTTCTTTCGCGCCTTCAGCCGGGCCAAGAGCTGGACCACGAACTGCAGGGAGCCACGAGGGCTTTGGAGCTTGTGGGAACGGTTTCTGGCATGATACTGCAATAGTTCAGGGCTTAGGGTTTAGGGCTTAGGGTGCAGGGTTCGGGGGGTTTAGGGTTTAATGAACAGCTAGGTTAAGAGGAATGAGAGAAAAACAAGGATATCGGTGGCAACAGCGGTTATATAACGGTGATACGCATGAATATTAGTCTATTAGTGACATCGCGGTATCAATGAACACTGCTGCCATGAAGGATCCATCGTGACAATGGCAACGAAAGTGACAGGCATAATTACACTAGTACTAACAATAATGATAATGGTAATAATGATGTGATAGTGGTAGTGAAGCAAGTGATATAAAAAAGTAAAAAGAAGAATAGCATTTGCTATGATGTAATTGCAGCAACATCTAGAACAAAAACAGCACTTTTGTCTGGATAAGCATGGTGTTGGCATTGATTACAGCGTTAGCATCAATGCTGCTATTAGGCTTTTCATACGACTGATTGTCGGTGTGCTCTCTTTTCTCTCTTTTGCAGGATTTTCAGCTTGAAAGCACTTGGCCCAGTACGTCTTAAGGTTAAGTTTTCGGGAAGAGCTTTTTGACACAAAACTGCGAACTCACGGAAACCCGAAAACTTGCGAAAGCCGACTCCGAATAAATGCGTGCATGTGAGCCGCTGGGTTGCTGCCACGACCGACTACAGCCCACCGGGGAAGCCTTGGATCCAAGCCAGGTTTAGGAAAAAAACCTAGGTTGGACTCACTCGCCCTGGCCAGGCAGAGGCCTTTGCTTTAGCCGGTCTTCCTCACTTAACATCACTCCTCGCCTTGCTCACAGCCAACAAGAAGAGAGAAAAGGACACGAGTAGTTCTCTGAATTAGGGTCCCTGTTAGAGTCCGGTGCCGTACTACTTTGGGGACCTACAAAGGGGACCCCCAATTTAGAGAACGACCCACATGGCTGTACAGGCTGCTCGAGCATCTTCTTTCCGCTGGCGCAGGCAGCCGCAGAAGCCGCCATGGTGCCAAGAAGAAATCTGTAGTTCTCTGAATTCGGGTCCTTTTTCGGGTTCCTTAAAGGGATCTACCAAGGTCTCTAAAACTCTATAACCGTAATATCAGGGTTCTAGGTGACTGGCTGTCAAAGCGAGCACGAGATCAAGGCAAAATCTTGCACCAGCGAATGCGGTTACGGGATACCTGATGGCTTTCAGGGTGTGGCAAGTGGGACTGTGGGACTTGGCATGAACTGGCCGTGGGCTCCCTCTGTCGGCGCTTCTGTCGGATGCTGCAACCAGAAAAGCTAAGCCGGCCCGCCGTACCGTGTCTACAAGTGCACTTGCTTCGGTCATTCTGGGAGATACTCTCTGTGCGCTTTCAGCAGTTGGAGAAGATGAGTGCCAAGCACGATTTCGTGTACTATCAGCAGGCCGCTCCTCACCACCTCGGCAATCATCTCATTGTCAAACTTGCACCAGCGTCCAGACGTCTGCAAAGCTTCGAAAACAGGCTCATCGGAAGACTATCCAATTGATGATGCTGGGTGCTGGACATGTTTCAAGCCAATCTTGGTGTCGGGGCCGTTTCGAAAGAGGGCTACCTCTCGCACGGTCAGCTCGAAGAGCCATGTGCACAGCTTTGTCCGAGAGTGCCTCGAAGACCCAAGCTCCACCACTTCCGCGTGGGAGCACGGGACCGGCAAGAGCCGCCTGAAAACTCAATCAGAAGAAAGGCTGGACAAGGCTAGGATAGCGAGCCTTTGCTCCCTCTGCCAAGCACCGAAGCTAAGACTGTCGTCTCCGTGATTGGTCATTCACCGGTACTCTATTTAAGGATCGTCCTGCTCCTCGCCCCGCTTGCAAAGAGCCTTGGCAACATGTTCACAAGACGGCCTTGGCATGACTCCACTTGCCTGCACCCGCTTCGGTAACTTCTGGAGATGCAATGCTAGCTCATTCGCTCTCAGGTGAGTACCGCCACGCGATCTCTGGCTCCATAGCCAGACTCCATGTGGATGAAAAGTGTTAAGTTCGAAGACAGTGGAGAGACTCTGCTGCACATGGATCCACAATGATGCCTTTGACTGCTGTATGCGGTTATCGGTGTTGCTTCGAGCAGCTCGCAGCAAGGGCGAATGGCTTGGACATGTCTGCGGCATCTGTCCTTCCAGTCTGCACACACCCGGCGCCACGGGGGCACTACACGCCCTGGCTCCCATTTTTCTTACTGTATGCTGCGACAGGGCTTGAAGGAGGGCCGCTCACCAGTTCCGCCATCCGCCTTTGTATCCACCGCCCTTGTAGCCGTCACCCTGGCAAGAAGATGTGTGGAGGTGAGCCCAAGCCGCTCTGCACAAGCGGAAACCATAGCGAAACCGACCTCCCAGTGCTGGTATGGCGGTCGCTGCTGCCCACCAAACGGCGATATCGGCCGCGTCTGGTCGTGGCTTTCTGGTGCTGTAGAAGTGCTTTGTAGTGCTGAGCTACCATGCAAGCAGATTGATATCCGAAGGATCGACGTACAAGCTTTGAATAGGGATCACAAACACAGCCCCTTCGGCGACTCTCCTGCAATCACAATCGACGCTACAAGGCCTTGCCTGGTACGGGCCCTGTTGCTGTGGCCACTGCGGTCTGATCTGCTGGGACTGCGCCTCGTCAGGGCTGGTTGGAGGGTAGCGCTTGTACTTGTTGCACCTGTACTTGTGTCCGATTGGGAAGCTCAGACATTGGGCTTTGGGTTTACGGAGTCTCAAACGCAGACTTCCGAGCTTCGGACAAAAGGCCGCGTAGGCCCGAGCGCAGTTGCCGCGGCCTGTGGCTCCGCTCGAACTTCCTGCTGCCTGCTTGGCCTTGCTAAGCAATACATGTGCCTGATGCCTGAACGTTTGCGCGGGGTCTACCTTCCTTGCGACCTGCTGAAACCTGAACCTCAAAACAAAGATCGTCACCTGCCCAGAGGCCACGATCTTCAGCTTGGCAGAGTCGTCGCCCATGTCAATGCGCCTGTTCCGATCTCTTCGGCTCTCCTGGCTGCGAGTCGTCGAGGGAGGAGGGATCATGACAAGCATCGCATCAGATTCTATGTGCCCCTGCAAGGGTTAACGGCTTTGGTTGCAAACATTGCATGCATGATGTTAAGGACGACGGCGGTGAGGATGAGGATGAGGATGAGGATGAGGATGAGGATGACGACGACGATGCGTAGCAAAAGGAAGAGGAGGCAGCTGTGGACGAAGATCGGAGTGCACCTTCTTGCCGCGAAATACGGAGAGACAAGCCGCCCCCCTCAATACCCTTTTAGTATCCTCTGCGCGCCCTTACAGTCAGTGCTCTTGTGATTCCCAACCACTACAGTATCGAGCAAGGTAGCCATCAATACCGACCTTTTTGTGATACTTGTAGCCGAAGGTGATAGGCCGGATACTTAAGCGTCTTGCACGGAAGCAACAGATAGCAAGGAGCAAATCCTCTTTTGAGAAACATATCGAAGAGAGGAAACTCCACTTTCAGTATCGAGGGAGGCTGCCTCCGTCAGCATGACGAAGAGGTTCGTCGATTCGAGGTCATCTGGCAGCTGGGGTTCCAACACCTGGCGAGAGCATGCTGCTGCTACTTGATCATCTGCACTGCGGTGCCTAAAACTCGAGAACACACTAGCTCGAAAGGGCTCTTCTGAATCCTTCCCTAGCACTGTGGCCTTGCTCTTGCCCATAATCAGCACCGTGTCGCTCACCAGGCCCACAAGCTCCTCGAGGCACGCGCGACTTGTGGATTCGCCGAATCGGGGAAGGCTGGAGGCAAGATACAGGTTGCAAGGTGCAGGGTAGATGCTGTTGATTTCTAGTTGCCCGGAGCGACTCCTCGGAGCTGTCCACTCCAAAAAACTTGATGTTGAGAGCCTGCAGAGTGAGCCGGATGCAGGGGCGCTACTTCAACGACGGAGTCACCGATGCTGGAACAAGGCAGAATATCAAAATATCCTATCTAAAGCTGCACTAATCAGCCTCTACTCATCTGAGTTTGGAGCTATGCTGGGCCTCTGTTTTCCTATCCGTGTGATCATGCCCAGTATAAGGTACACGGACTGCATTGCGCAATGCAGTTTCGGTCTCTACTGCAGAAACTCCGCTGAATATAAGAATTCTTTGGCACCCTCGGAATTTGCCCAACTGAAAGACAAGAGCCTACAGGGTTCGGCAGATTGGGAGCTGCAATGACCCAAGTAGATTTTTCCCCACGCCAGCCTTCTTGTAATACTTCTGGTAGTAAAATGCCAGGTGCTCAACCGGCACAGCGACCTCAGAGGACAACCCTCCGATCACCGTCACCACCAGCGGAAGCAGCCGCCGTACAGACGACAACCACCACGAGGACCAAGATGACGACTGGCTTTAACCTCCTGCTGCTCTCCTCCTCCTGGACTATGCAAAAATCAGGGGCATTGGCCCGGCCGGGATCATGGGAGTCACGTCGAAAGGCATGGGCCATCCTGAGATTTCACAGAAGCAACGCCTCCTTCTTGGACCGACCGCCGAGCTGTGGGCAGATGGAGCTCGTAGCGCAAGCCTGGAGAGATCGAAGGCGGAGCTTGACCGCAGCTCAATCGTGGTAGCTCGGGGCGCGGATATGCGAAGGAAAGCCCTGACTGAGGCAAAAGCTCATAAGTGTCCAATCCTCAAACGTGAAGGCCGCGAAAAGAGGCCTCAGAAAGAGAACTTGGCGAACCCATGTGACTCAATACCTGAACTTCCTTATTATCAAACCTTGCAGTCCGCTCCAAACAGCGCGAGGCTGAAGCTTCTGGTAAGCCCCCAAAAATCGATGCTTTCATGAGTGCTCCGCTTCCAGCCAAACAGAACGGTCTCTCAAACACTGCCTTGGGTTTATATTGAGGTCTCCGCTCCCCGCCACCAACATCCATGACATCCTCAACACCGAAGACATCCAGGCTTTCGAAGTCCACCTTTCGAGCAAGCCGCCCCAGCATCCCTAGTAGTTCCGACAGGGCCCTCACCTTTAGAACGATTACACAGCCGAACCTGCACTGCTTGTCCTATCCCCCATCCCAAGACGACCTTGTTGCTGTCATCCAGGGCCGCCAGTACCTGGCTGCTGGTTCCCTGAAAACAGGACTCACGAGATAGGCCTTTCTGACCAGGCCGGCCAAGGCTCCAAGAAAGGAAACCCACTTCGAGAAACCACCCTGACAGCCTATTATGCTGTCTTAGTACGCCGATGCCGTCTTCTGTATCGAGGTAGAATCACTCACACATGTGCACACCAAACGCCACCAGCTTTCAATGTAGTACCAAGAGCCCTGATGTCTGCAACGCTTGCTTAGAAATCCTGCTGTCACGGCAGCATACACGACTTAACCCAAACATGCAGGCAAGTCCTCCAAGGGCAATTCGGTCCCATCCTTTTCTGCCTGCAGCTGAAGCTTTAGAAAACATCGGATTTGACGAGCATTGGCACCAACCGCATGGCACAATTACGAAGGTTGCAACAGTGTCTACACTTCCACACACGCTTCGCAACGCCACCTGCTCTTTGGCTGCGAGCTGGGCAATCTTCTTTGCCTCCACAGCACAAAGGTCAAGACACATCAGGACCAGCGTTCTCAAGACCAAAGTCGTTGTCGACATTGGGATCTCAAGCCTAATGCGGAATTCTGGAGGTTCCCGCACATCTTGCAGTGCAGCTACGAAAGGCTTGTCGGGCCCGTCTGCGCAGAAGTTGCAGCCGGCTTGAAGCTTCTGGGCCCTGGTGGAGGGATGTGTTCACCTTGCCTCGTTCCTAGCAGCAGATGTGAGCCATCTTTCGCACAGTGTCTGCCGCAGGCAGAGTAATGGCGTACGACTGGCCACATCATGTCAACACTCTCTGGAACCTGATTTTGATGACCCAACTCGATGATCGATCACATCTTGCGCAGCTAATCATGATCCAAAGACATTGCAGGCAACCCAAGTGATCCACTTCTTTGCCTCAATAGCTTTGTGGGTGTTGTGCTTGGTCTGGTAGGACTGCATCACCTGACTACATTGCATGTGGAGGGAAACTTCTGCCACACCATCCGTCATCCGTCATCCGTCGCCTGCTCGCTAGCTGGTGCTGGGCCGCGGGCCTTCTGCCATTCCTTCCACTTCGTGCTGAACCACTCGCCCGGTTGCAGATCTTGGCACCGGTGTTTGCTTAAGCGGCCCAGTGACAAGGCGAGGCTACAAAGAACGATCAATCTGTAAACCGGACTTGCTGACTGGAGTAGCATTCGCTTCGCAAGCAGCAGGGCAAGGCGAAGAGTAGCAGCTCTGTTGAGACTATCAGACTGCCTGACTGTAAGCCTTGTCTCAAGCTTCCAACTTCCTTCAACCAAGCAAAGCATCAAGTACTCAACCAGTCCACTGATGCATATCAGCGGCCTTCCAATCGAGATGTAAGCTTTTTCACCTGCTTGCAAACAGCACCACGGGCTACACATGCCTCCACTAGGCTCAGAAAAAAAACTGCTAAGATGTCTGCTGCAGCCCGCTGCCGGCACCTGGCCTGAACCCATTCTTCCAGGTGCTGCTTTGCCTTCTTCTCGGGACTCCAGATATATTGGATCCCGTCGAAGTACGTCTCCTGCCGCTAAGACCGGAACGACTGGCACTACAACATCTATAGTTGCTGTAGTTGTAGTGCCTCTTCGTCTGGAAGGCTGAACTTCTGGAAGTTGGTATTCCTCATCGCAGCATAGCGAGGCTTTGTGATATTTATGCCACACCTTCGGCCATCACATGAGAGCTTATCTCGCGCTGTCCAAGCTGCAGAACATACGCAGTCAAATCGCTCACGGGCAATCGTCGGAATGTCAGCTTCTTCCTCAGCTGCTGGGCAGGTGCTGTTGCACCCAGGGTCACTCTGTCGCACTATCAAACATGCTTGCGTTCATTGAATCACCAAGTCACGGTCAAGTCCCAAGCAGTAATCACTTGAAGGGCCCTTGAGAATGGGTGGAATCCCCTACACGGCCACAAGACTCTGCCGGATTCAACCCGACAGCTGGCTTCACTCCAGGGACCGCACTCCTCGGCAGTAAGCTCCGCGAGTGGAACGTCCTCCTGTCACATCTCGCAGATTCCCCAAGATTCGCTGGCCTTGCCGCAAGGCCGCGAGGCTGCAAGGCTTCGGAAGCCACGCCTCAGGCATTCCTTTCGCTTTGGCTTCCGCCACTTTTGCCTCAAAGATTTGGAGGCAACCCATGGCATGCTCTCAAAGGCCTGAGAGCGGTCTCACTGCCGGGCTCGTGGCCTCTTGCTTAGCCTTGAACATCCTGTCCTGGACGGTGCTGCAGCTGCACGCTCTCAGCTCTTGCTGCTGAAAGTGCAAGGGTGATCATCAGCAGTTCGAGGCTGACTGCAACGACCTCTCCCACTACTGATCTCGGCTCGGAAGCTTCGGTCCTGGCTGAACTCTTTGAAGGCAGCTGGAGGCTCGCCCACGAGAACCGTCGCGATACGCGTGTAGCCACCCCACCCTTCCAGAGGGCATTTGGCAGCCTACTCTCATCTACACATGCTCACCATCAGAGATGAAGAATGAAGTTGGCAAGGATAAGAGATTTCATTGGTATCAGTGCTACCACCTTGCTATCATCACTGTTCTCAGTTGCAACATGTAGATGCACTCTGCAGCATCAGACCCATCGTCATCAGTACTACCAGCATCATCACCATCATAGTCATCATCACCAGTTCATGATTATTGATTCTCGTCTTAATCGACGGGATTCGAAATAGAGCTGCCATTATTCTGGCATCCGTCACATTGAAACGGCGCTCACTACATGTCACTACTCTAAACCGAAACGACGACGACGACTGTTGCTCCCACTGCTAGGAAACTAGTAGTAACTATTAATGATCGCAATCAACATCACCACTGCCACTGGTCCTGCCCCTGCTGCTTGCGTGGCTACTTCTGCTACTCATGCTTAAGAGCTTTGGCTGTCCAATGAGTCCCTTAGGTTGCCCATCCGTGGCCCAGGCGTAGGGCCAGCTCCCTTCGCTCCTCTTTGAGAAGCGCAGACTTCATCTGGCACCGACACAGCCGGTGATGGAAGGAGTCATTGAAATCCGATTATGCATGGAATTCCTCACTCAGTTTCTGATGTGCACCTCTCCGTCTCTCACGGCCGACATTCTCTACTGCATAGACCAGCAAGCGAGTTCTCTGTGCACCGGCCTCCACGACTATGAAGTTCCGAGGTTGAATGGAAACAAGTGCCTGACCGGGGGCGTGGCTTATTGCAAGCCGAGCAGTCGGGGATGTAAGCTCCATATCTCCATATCCGGTGTCTGAGCACAACGAGATGTGAAGGTACCGTCCGTGCTACTGACTCTTCCGCCCTTCGTCCTTGCTGAGCTTCCACCAACCTCCACGCACTAGCCATTCTATGCCTGCAGGGTTCGGCGCATGCTGCCATCGTCCAGCGCGGAGACACCGAAGCCCATCTGCCAGCAGCAATGCTTAGGCTTAGTGGCTTGGACAGACAATGATGTAGCCGACCCATCCCATGGTAACCAGACCCGCCTCTGGCTTGTCATTGGACGCTCGCGCTGCAGCCTCAGGTAGAATGTCAATGGAATATTGCTTCTGCGAAGATATATTAGGCTACGGCTACTTACGAGTACCAGTACCGGCCAAGCGGCTGTGTAGCCCTTGGGGCGGCTCAGGCCACTCAGCTCGCACCAGGTCAGCATGGCCCGGTCGCTCAGCTCGGTGTAGCCCCTGCAGGCATATCAAGTCAAAGACAGCTGACCCTGACAGGGTGGGAAATCTGGGCCGCCACACGGGTGGCTTTCCATGAACTGGTCCAGCCAGTCAAAGCCACCTTCGTCCGGCACTGCGACAGGGAAGATCACCTCAAGCTGCCAGGATCGAGGAGCTACAGTCAGGACGGCCGTCCAAGCGATGGCCTCGCACTGCCCGTCCGACGGCTTCGTCGACGCCTTGATGCTCACGTCCTTCTGCGACGCATCCTGTCCAAAGCTAGTAAGTGCACGTACATCTGCTGGAGGCACTCTGCAAGGAAACCGAACCTTCAGGAAGCGGCACTTGAACGGCATTGGCATCAAAGAGGCGCCAAAGTTGTAATGCACGGCCATATTCCTGATCGCCATTCGACAGTCACAAGCAGCATAGGATACTCATGTGCCAGCTGCTGCAAGTAAATGTGCCTGAAGCTCACGGCCGGATACAGAACCTGGCACGCGCAAGGGTCGTAGCATGTCATAGCATTCCTAAAACTTCTGAGATCCTTGAAGGTTTGGGGAACACAGGGGCCTTGCCCTGCAAGTGCTCCGGGATCGGCTGGGGCGGAGCCATGCGCTGGCCGTCCTCGGGGGAACACGGCTCGCGCTGGCAGAGTTTTGGAAGCTTCTGGCCGAGCCTTGAAGATGCTCAGCGTGTTTCCAAACTTGCCTGAGCAAGAGAGGCAGGGCCGATACAGTACCCCAGGGTGAGCTCATTGAGCCCCGCACTGTTCGGGTCCAGGTTAGCCACCAGTGTGACCACATCCCCCGTTGTGAACTTCGAGCTACACACGGGGCTCGCCTTCCTGGCAGCACTTCATCACCCTGACAGTCCCTTTCTGCGTTGAGGGAGGTTGCTCGTCCAGTGCCTGTGTACTCGACTGCTCATGACTTGGCTGCTGCGCATGGCTCTTCGACAACATCGCATGTCATGATCTTCCACGATGAACGCTCGACAAGGCGAAGATCGCCTCCGGTCGCGGAAGAAACCTTCCGAGTCGAAGCAGACCGTATCCTGTCCGAACGCAAGATCCCGGTTGCAAAGCACTCTCACATCCCCTTTTCGCAGAGCTTCAGGAAGGAACCCTGTTGCCAGCCGGAAATATGCCGGATCGGCAGTGCCCGGCAGAGCTGTCCAGTCCTCCGTTTCACCGAGGACTAGGGAGGACTTCGCGGTGGCCACGCCAATCCGCAGCACACTTCGCGGCCCCATCATCCTGGACAGAGCTAGGTCGCGCTACGTTGCTAGCAACCTAAATGCCGCAACCGGGTCTGGCGTCTGCAGCGACGGACATGTCCAAAACTACGAGATTTCCACACACCCCGGACCTGGATCGGGCAGTCGGATCTTCGTGGAAGCTGCTCCTTTCGAGGATTTTCACCTGTGTCACACGGGGCTTCCATGAACACCTACCATCGACCCTCCCTTGCAGCCCTGGCTCCGCCGCCTCGAACATGTACCGGCCAGCCTTCAGCCCGATGTTGCATCTCGCCCCTGCTATGAGATACCTCAAGTCCGACAACCACAGCGGTGCTCCGAAACCGCCAAAGCCCCAAAGCCCTCCCATACATATATATATATATATGTATATATATATATATATATATGTATATATGTGTATATATATATACATATATAGCTACATATAGCTCCATATATGCATATATATATATATATTTATTTATTTATTTATTTATTTATCTATTTATTTATTTATTTATGGGCTACTGCCGCCGACCCCAAAGCCGAGAC